TGAGCTGGGGATGTAGCTCAGTGATACAGTACTTGACAAATACGTATAAGGCTTGTGGTTCAATCCCTGGGACTGCCCCACACCTCCCACAAATAGTAGATGTTTAAAGCTTCCTTTTTAAAAAACATTTTTTTAGTTGTATATAAACACAATACCTTTATTTTATTTATTTATTTTTATGTGGTGCTGAGGATCAAACCCAGTGCCTCATACTTGCAAGGCAAGTGCTCTACCCTTAGCCACAACCCCAGCCCTGAAAMTTCCTTTTTTAATCCCCAAAATTCACATTTCCTAATTAAGCCTGAATTCCAGTAATAAATGAAAGCTAAGGAAACTCTCATTGGGAACTGTAACCTAAAATTGATGAAGCAAGCTGGGCATGGTGCCACATGCCTGTAATCCCAGTAGCCCAGAAGGCTGAGGCAGGAGGATTGCAAATTCAAAGCTAGCCTCAGGAACTTGATGAGACCCTGAGCAACTTAGCATGACTCTGTCTAAAAATGAAAACATAAAAAAGGACTGGGGATGTGACTCAGTGCTTGAGCACTCCTGGGTTCAATCCCTGATACCAAAAATAAATAAATAACTAAAATGATGGAGCAAAAAATGCTAATCTGCAGAGACCACTCAGCATGTCAGGAGACCTTGATCCAGATCTGGGCTGAGAAGTGTACAGACTGTATCATGGGCAAATTACTTCTTTGCTGTTATTTTTCCCACATGGAAAATGCAACTAATGATCTCTGCTTCTGCTTCTTAGGGATGTAGTGGAGATATATGAGATAATTTATCATGAATGTGCTCTTGAGAACAAATATTGCTCACATTCAAATTGTCACAAGCATTATATTGTAGGATTATTTATGCCTGTGGTTAAAGTGTCTGGCTGCTGTGGGTTTCCTGTCTTGGGTAGATTTCCACAGACCAGTGAATGTCCATGGGGAGGGAGGAACAGAATGTGAGCAGAACCTACAGCTGTCACTTGATTAATGATAAGCCAAAGAGATCCTTTGAGGTTCTGCTTCTCCCTGACTCACACACTCTCCAAGGTAAAATAAAGTGGCTATACCCTCAAAATGCTCCAATGAATTAGTAGGTTAAACAGTGCAGGAAAAAACACAATTGGTGGTGAGAAACAAACCAAGCAGGTGGTGACAGCTCTTGGCATCAGAGAGATGCTATTGTTGAAGTGATGTGTACCTTGTCAGTCATTCTTGTCCATCCATTGTAGGGCACCTGCAGCTGTGCATCTAAGGATTTCTCTGTCAGGTGTCCAACCCGCATTGATGAGATAACTCCAGAGCAAGTCTTGGATGGTAAGGGCTGGGGAAGGCTGTGTATTTCCATTTTAGTCTAGTGATCATCACCTGGTGTTGCTGGGGGTGTCCTGTCATGTTGTACTAGAATGGGA